GTAGGGCATTTGTTTTGTATGCGGCTGACCCGGGTTCAATTCCCAGCATCCCATATGGTCCCCTGGGCACCGCCAGGGGTAATTCCTGAGTGCAGAGCCAGGAGAATAACCCCTGTGCATCGCTGGGTGTGACCCATAAAGCAAAAAAAAAAAAAAAAAAAGAACCTTTTCCCTGTTGCTGAATCTTTCACATCGTCCACATGTTTGGGTCCAGGGCCCCCTCACCACTTCGGAAGCTTTGGGCTGGGCAGAGAGCCCCTGGGGTGGAGTTGGGGGGGTCTGTGGTCAGATGGACAGGACCCCGCTCTCCCAGCGTATCCACGGCTGGTGGCCTGCAGCACCGTGCTCTGTCCTGCAGCCTGAGAACTGCAGAGGCCAGGACTGAGTGCACCTAAGATGGCCCCAAGAAGAAGAGGACTGGCATGTCTAGGGTCCCGGGTCCCTGCCCCCCGGCCCCTGGCCAGGACAGGCAGGAGGAGGCTGGTTGGGTGGTGAGCGCAGTGGGGACCTGGGTCCGCTCCCAGGCACTCGCCACTGCCAGTGGGGGTCCTGCGCAGGGTCGAGCTGGGCTGATGATGACAGACAGGTTGGGTCCACTGCCAAGACCCCCCCAGCTCCCGCCACCTTGGCTCACGAGAGCTCTGGCCTGCCTGCAGCCTGAGACGTGGCTCCCTCAGCTGAAGTCTGCCCCTGGGTCTTGGCTCGGGAATTGCGTGTTGGTGGCTGGATTTAGTTGTCTAGACTGGTCAGGGACTCAGACAGTCTGAATCCTGCCTCTTCCATGGGCTTAACTGTCCCCTGAGCAGGGGCCTAAGCCCCTGGGCCTCTGATCCGACAGGCATTAGGCTCCTGCCACGGGAGGAAGGAGGAGAAAGAGTGTGTGTCGGGTCTCAGCCCCTGGAGGCACATATGCAGCATCAGTGGAGGGAGAGGCCTGGCGGGCGGCTGGAGAGAGGCCGGCTCAGCCCTGCCCATCATCCCACGAGGTGGCCTGGGTGTGGTACCTCAGTCACAGGGGAGGCCAGGCCGGGCCCAGAACCCTCAACACACTGTCCCCCACCCCCGGACCCAGCTCGGGCCTTCTGGAAGCACTTTGTGAGAGAGGCCTGGCCGGGCGGTGGGCAGGAATGGTCAATTTTGACCCGAACGTCCGGCGCAGACCCTGCGGTTCCAGTGGGTTGTCGTGTTCATCCTCCCCTTCCCTGTCTGCCTGTCGCCATGATGGAGGGTCGCACAGGCACCAGCTGTGGTGCTCCCACATGAAGCTGTGGTGCTCCCACACGCGACCCCAGTGCTCTCTGGCATCACCTGCTTCTGTTCACACATCTGCCAGTGGTGCTTATTCAGACGTCCTTGGGTGGGGAGGGTGGGGACAGCCAACACCACTGGACAGGTGCCCCCAGTGGTGCTCAGGGCTTATTCCTGGCTCTGAGCTCAGAGACCCTGGTGGGCTTGGGGGATCATATTGAGTGCCGGGAATTAAACCCACTATACTGTCCCTCAGGCTCTTCATGAGTACTTTTAAAACTACAAATTGAAACAGAAAAGCAGGAAAAAAAAAAGGAATGCCCAGCCTTGGGCTAGAGCGATAGCACAGCTGGTAGGGCGTTTGCCTCGCAAGCGGCCAACATGTCCGACCCGAGTTCGATTCCTCCACCCCTCTTGGAGGGCCCAGCAAGCTACTGAGAGTAGCTTGCCCGCACGGCAAAGCCTGGCAAGCTACCCATGACATATTCAATATGCCAAACACAGTAACAATTGTCTCAATGGAGACGTTACTGGGCCCGCTCGAGACCAGCCTTAGCACTACTAGGAAACAAACAGACACTTGGCTCTGTAAGGAGCTATTGCAGGCTGCAATAGAGAGTTGAGGGACCCAGAGCAATAGTACAGCAGGTCAGACAGTGGCCTGGTATGCGGCTGACCTGGGTTCTATCCCCGGCATCCCATATGTTTCCCCTGAGCTCACCAGGAGTAATTCTTGAGTTCAGAGCTAGGAGTAAGCCCCATGTACAACTGGGTGTGACCCAAAAAGCGAGGGGGGTGTTGCGGAGGGAGGGATATCTGAGTTGGATCATCTGCTTCCCTAACGCCTACTTTCTTTTTTTATTTTTTTTGCTTGCTTTTTGGGTCACTCCTGGCTTTGCACTCAGGAATTACTCCTGGTGGTGCTCGGAGGACCCTATGGGATGCCGGGAATCGAACCTGGGTCGGCCGTGTGCAAGGCAAACGCCCTACCCGCTGTGCTATTGCTCCAGCACCATGCAAGGCAAGCACTCTCCCCGCTTACTATCGCTCCAGCCCTTAAAACCTACATTCTTGCCGCATCGCCCTCACTCCCAGCCACTCACTGACCTCCGTCCAGCCAGAAACCCCTTCAGTTCCCCAAGGCCAGGAGATGGGAGAGGTTTCCCTGGGCATTTGCATGGTGGAGGGTGTGGGTGCCACAGGTGGCATGGCCCAGAGGCTCTTGGACGCCCTCCTTGGGTAGGGCTCAGGACACTGGCCCTATCCCCCTGCGCCTAAGGGGGATTCCAGGCAGATTCTCCAGCCCACTACACAAGGTGCTTCTGATGGGGTTTAAGTCTAGACGCTCCAGGGCCAGCGAGGCCGTCCTGCGGGAAGGGCATTTGCCTTGCACGCAGCTGTCCCAGGTTTGATCCCTGCCATCCCATATGGTCCCCCAAGCCCTGCCAGGAGAGCCCTGAGCACCTCTCGATGCGGCCCCCAAACCGAAAACTCTAGACGCTTCATTCATTGCATTCGGCCCTGCATCTGCTTATCTGTTCACTTGGAGGGGACACCAGGACAAGTCCCCAGGAAGTTTGGGGAGCTGAGTAGTCCCCAGGATTGGACTTGGGGCCTCCAGCGTGCAGGCCTACGCCCCACCCCTGTGACCTATCTCCTGGATCCTGTTTATTTATTGAAAACCCATATCCACTTCCTCCAGCCCTCGGTTTAGTTGCTCAGTGCCAGACAAGCAGGCCAGTGGGGCAGCCCTGGTCACCGGGGTGGAAAGGAGACTCCCAGAGGCAGCCGTGGCCCCACGATATCCCCAGCAGGTTCTGCAGGCCCGGTGTCGCGTCTGGGGAAAGTCCGGAGTGTGGCTGGGCCCGGTGTGCTTTCCTTCCTTCCTCGCTCTCCCCAGCCACCTGTATGTAGCCCGGTAGCTCCTTGCAAGGGAGGCTCGGCTGGAAGAACCACTTCCTGTTTGGGGCATCACTTCCTGCAAGTGACTCACTAGCTCCCACTGGCCTCGCGCTGGGCAGCCAAGGTGAGGGCGGGGGCGGGCGCACCCCTGGCCAGATCCTGCTGGGTGACCCAGAGACAGGAGGCGGGAGATGGAGAAGGCAGCAGGACGCTGAGCCTGGTGAGCAGGGTCTAGAGCCTGCAGACCCTCTGGCTGGGGTGCGCATCTGGGCTGTTGCAGGCCAGGTGGGGTGACAGCAGGCCTGGGGCCCAGTGGGCAGCATTTGTGACACCTTTATCTCTTCTGTTGCCCGGATGATCCTGGGGTGTCCAGGATGGAGCCCGGGCCTCTTGCAGGCTAAGCAGAAGCTCCCTTCCCAGGCCTGCTCTCTCCATGAGGCAGGAAGGGTGCTAGACCCCGAGTTAGACTTGGACACGACTTCTTGGCCACTCTCCGGCCTCCGTCTCCATGCTCTGTCCGATGTGGCTGGGACATGGGGGGAGTTTGGCCCTTATAGACTTTGCATAAAGAGATTTGGGCTGGAATTTCAGCCCGGCCGCACGGCTTGGGTGTGTCCACTCTAGACTCTGAAAGAATAACCATCCCTTTCAGTCGTGGACATTAGTTCATCCTCCCGTTCGTCCTTGGGGATTGGCTCCATTATTGTTGTGGGACGTGTAAACAGATCGAGGCCCGAGAGGGGAAGTAACTTGCCCAAGGTCACACCGTAGGAGGCAAGATTCTCACTTGGGTGGTTTGACCTCCGCAGCGCGTTCTCCGAGAAGTCTGTTCTCGCGGCTTCAATTGTGGGTCCTAGACCTGCAGCATCAGCACTGCCTGGGGCCCGGCAGGAAAGCCGCCGCTCTGGCCCCGACTGTCTGGGGCTGAGCTCGCCCGGGTGTTGTCTCTGCATATCCAGAAGCCCGTCTGTCTGTCTTCCCGCAGCCCCTGGGGCCGGAGGACCCTTGTGGGAGAGAGAAAGGACCAAAGTGTATTTAGTGAACTGTAAGGCGCAGAGCATCAGGAGAACAGAGCGGCAGGAGGAAGGCCCGGGTGCAGGGGTCTCTTGGTGGCTGGATGTCGGTTCCCGGCTCTCCCAGCACTTGTGCCCTCCCTGCCCAGGCTGCCTCTTGGTTGTGCATGTCTTGCTGACCTGGGGTTCCCGGGGCAGATCAGGCTGGGAGAGGGTTCTGAAGTTGGCATGAGCTTATGCTGGGCACCACCAGGCATCCTGAGCCCCGCCTCCAACTCCAGGCCCTGGGGTCTCAGTGTCCCCTAGTGGGCCGGGTGGCAGCGGCCCCTGAAGCTGCAGTGCAGAACTGGACCCCCTCCTGTGGCCTGTCCCACCGTCTCCCCTCCTCGTTCCCCGGCAGAGCTGGTGACAGGGAGGCGGAGATGAGTCAGAAGTCAGCCACATAATTGTGGTGCCCCAGAGTCCGCCTCCAGCCCCCCCAGCCCTCCCTCGGCGGTTCTAGAACAGCTGGTTAGGTGGCTACCTCCGGAGAAGCTGGGCCCCGAGCGGTGTCTGGGCCCCCAGGGTCAGGAGCAGCCCCAGAACACGTTTCTGTGGGCCCTGGAGGGGGCACAAGTTGTGTCAGGGAGCAGGTTGTGGTGGGTTTGGGGCTGGGGGGGGTGCAGGTGACACCTGTAGCATTGTGGGGGTTCCTGGCCCAGGTGGTCTCCCCAGGACAGGGACTAGGTATGCTTTGGCACAGGGTGGGCACAGGGCGGGGGCCTGCTGAGGGCCAGGAGGCTGGGAGAAGGTGGCCAGAGAAGCCATCTGACTGGGTGTGGCCTCTTGTCCTTCCAGATCTCCCAGGGAAGTGACATCACCAGCTCCGTGGACAGGACATCCCCAGGACCCCAGCTCAGAGCCACTGGAATCTTCCAGGTACAGAACCAAGAAGGAAGGAGGGAGAAGAACGTGGGAGACCAGGTGCAGGAAATACCCCCTGCCCCGGGATTCCAAGGTGGTGTCCACCTCTTCTGGGGCGACCATCCTTCTAGCTTAGAAAAGGGCAGCAGAGAAAACGGGTGTCGCGTTCCATAGCCTGCAACCTGCAGCTTGAGCTTGGCAATCTCTGTCTAGGGACAGGGCAGCCCCGACTGTGTAAGCCCCTCAATCTGTGTTGGCTCAGTTAAGCGTCCCCAGGTAAGCTTGGTGCTGTGGTTCCCCCCACTCCAAAGATGGGGAGCTGAGGCCAGAGGCAAGATGAATGGTCAGGAAATGGTAGGACTGGGCTTCCAGACCCAGCATGGAGTTCTTTGTGCTTTGGTTTTGTTTTGTTTTGCGGACACACCCGGTGATGTTCAGGGGTTACCCCTGCTCTGTCCTCAGGAATCATTCCTGGCGGTGCTCAGTGGACCATATGGGATGCTGGGGATCGAACCCAAGTTGGCAAGCACCCTCCCCACTCTGGCCTCAGCCGTGGGCGTGAGCCCAGGCAGCACCTTGATGCCCTCCTCACTCAGCAGGGCGGGTTTCCTTTGACCCCCGAAGGGAGCCGGGCATTTGGAGGAGGGAAGAGCGTCTGGGGGCGCCTCTCTCAGTGAAACCCGTGTTCTGGCTCCATCTGACGCCGTGAACATGGGGGGGAGGGGGAGAAGCTGAAAAACAAATGGGACTACAGCCAGCGGTGCTCAGTTGCTCCCCTCCCAGCCCAGAGATCGCTGCTGCTGCTGCTGCCCAGGGAACCCTGTGGTCCTGGGGCTCAAACCCGGGGCTCCTGCATGCCACTGAGCTGGCTCCCTGGGATTCCCACGTATTATTGGGCTATGTGTGTGCACACATGTGCGTGTGCATATGTGTGGTGCTGGGGATCAAATCCTGGGTCTCATACACACGAGGCATGGGAGTTTTATTTATTTATTTTTAGTTCCTTCCTTTCCCCAGGAAATTGGGAGAAGGCAGGTGATCATGCGAGGTGCAACAGGCCTGGGGCTCAGCGGGGCTCTGCCGGTGCCGGGTGGGTGCCCGGTATGGTTCACCTGTGTTTCTGGCTGGCATGGCAGCGGGCGTGGCAGGTGCCAGGCCCGGGTCCCTGCATGTGATCCTCTAGCAGGGACTGGGTGGTGGTATCGCATGTCCGCTCCACCCCCACCCGACACACAGCTGGGCCGGGCTGCAGGCAGTGCAGGGCCAGCCGAGCCCAGCAGAAGCCCACCTGGAGGGGCCTCGGCCCGGTGGGCAGACGGGGAAACAGATAATTACCGTTTCCCTGCACAGCACCCTCTGATCCAGACTGCAGAGCTCTGCCCGCAGATCCGAGAGAGGTGACAGGGGACTTCTCTAGGGGCATCAGGCCAAGCTCTGCACCCAGTCCCCGAGCAACGGCTTAGAGGAGGGAAGATTTGTGGGCAGAACAGGTGGAGGGGTCCCACCTGGGGACCCAGCCGCTGGTTCACTTAGTGGTCCACTTCCTCCTCCTTCCCGGCATCCCGGGCCTGCCAGGGAAGCCTGTTTGTAGAACTCTGCCGCTTTACATAAATAAATAAAGCAGAGCCTGGCTCTCCCTTCCCTCAGGGGGCAAAAACTGGGCAGAGACAAGTTTGCTCACTGCAAGTCTCTGCCAGACTCAGCTTCCTCCTTCCCCTTCTGCTCGGGCGCTCCCCCCCGTCCCTGGCACCCAGGGAGAGGCATGGAAAAAGCCTGAGCGTGAGACTGAATCACAGTGGCCGGCTGGGAGGGGCGGGTGCCGGGGAGAACACGGAGGGCTCCCCTCCAGGACCCTGGGCTAGAGGCTCCGCAGGGACACCGCTCACTGGGCCGCTTCAGGGAGAGAGTGTGTGCTTGAGGGGTGGGGGGTCCCACATCTCAGGGTGCTGCTTACAGAGGGAGAGTGGCCCCTGTAGGGGGCTGGGCATCCCTTGGAGCAGACAAGCCTCTGCAGGCAACTGGCAAGGTGCAGGGTGGAAGGGTGGAGAGACCCCTTCCTGTCCAGAGCCGCCGTGGGAGGGACCAGCCCCTGGGAGTGTGACCTCGTGGGAACCCATTCTGAGATTTGCGTGGAGGGTCTGCAGCTTGGAGTCTGGGCTCCCTCTGTCCTCCGAGCAAAGCCAGGTCCCTCCTGGTGACCCAGCAAGACTGTCCTGCCAGGAAAGCCAAGTCCAGAGCCCTAGGCCCTGGTGGCCTGAGTTTGGCTCCTCATCCTTGGAAAGCCCCGGGCCTGGGTCCCATGCTGTGGGTCTGCCCACCCCTCCCCACCCAGACTACAGTCTGTAGCGGGCGGGGGTGGGGGGTTGGGGAGTGGGGGGGTGGACTCTGCTTTCACCGTGTGACCTATGCAGAGTTTCTTATTTTGTTTGTTTTGTTTTGTTTTGGGACCACACCCTGCGATACTCAATACTCGGGTTACTCGATGCTCTGCCCTCAGGAATCACTCCTGGCCGTGCTTAGCCGACCAGAAGGGTATGCCGGGGATCGAACCCGGGTTAGTCACCATCTGCAAGGTGGGTGCCCTCCTCGCTGTCTGTTCTTGAAATCACGAACCACTGAACTTGTGCTCAGAGCATGGCTGAGACCTGTTGCTGTGACCAGGTGGTCTCCGAGACAAAGAAGGTTCTGGGGTTTGTTTTGTTGGGTTGGGGGCCACACCCAGTGGCGTACGGTGGTGGCTCCGGCTCTGGGGGGACCATGCGGTGCCGGATTCACACCCAGGGCCTCACACAGCAAGCCCAGTAGGTGCGCCATCACTGCAGCGGTCTCTGTCAGATGCCCTGGGGCACCCTCACACCTCAGGCTTCACCCTTCACCCTCAGAGTCGGCCTGGGGAGCTGCCGGGAGCCAGAGCCCTTCCGTGGGAAGCCTGAACGCTTCTGCTGAAGGGCGGTCAGGAGGGGCCCGAGGCCTGCAGACCCCCAGCCTGTGCGGCAAGATGCTGGCTAGCTGGGAAGCCTTCCCTGGAGGAAGAGCCGTCTGAGGGGGCAGAAGTGTTGCGTAAACAGGCCGCCAGGCACCGGGCAGGAAAGCTGATTAATGACCCTAATTACTGCCCGACTGATTCCTTCAGAGCAGCTTCTCCCCAAGCCCTGAGCCTCTCACAGGCCTGAGGGTGCCGGGGGTCCCTCTCCCTCCCAGCCCCGCCAGGACCCCTGGTTGGGCCTCTCGTTCCTGCTACAGGTTTGGCTCCCTCCAGCCGTCCTCCGACCCGTTGAGCCCCTGAGTGCATCAGCAGACGTGTGGGGGTCAGGTGGGCCCCTGCTCTGTTCCACTTGGGCTCTTGGGGTCTTTCTGGAACCCCAGAGTTGGCTTTGGTAGAAGCCCCACCTCACCTTCCAGCCTTCCGGCCCCAGGGTGGGTTTTGTCTCTTTGGGTTGGGTTTGCTTTGGGAAACAGCCCGGCTGGTGAGCAGCTTGGGGGCTGCCCCTGAGCCCCCAGTGGGCAGCAGACCCCTCCAACCCCGCCCGGGGCACTCACCCGAGCTTGGCTTGAGGGCTGGAGCCTGAGGTGGCCTCTGGCACTGCTCATCCCGTCTCTGCGCCCCTACTACGTCCTTCCCGAGATCTCCTTACCTTCTCTGGGCTTCATGTTCTCCTTTTTTTTTTTTTGTTTTGTTTTTGGGCCACACCTGGTGATGCTCAGGGCTCACTCCTGGCTCTGCACTCAGGAGTCACTCCTGGAAGTGCTCCGGGAACCGTATGGGAGGCCGAGATCAAACCCGGGTTGGCTGCTTGCAAGGCAAACACACTATCGGCTGCACTAGCACTCTGGGCCCCCCATCTCCTTCCCACCCACACCCCGTTTTGTTCTACCCTCTCCAAGAAGCCGCCCTGCAAGTGCCCAGGGTTGGGCTGGGCCTGTCCAGGAGTTCTGGGCCGGAACAGACTGTCTAGGCTATCCTGGAGGTTTCCAGGCCTTGACACAGAATGGGGGGTGTGGTGGGGGGGCTGGATCTCAGGTGGTGACAGGCATAGCCGCGTGGGAAGCAGGGTCTGTGGCCCTGTGCCTTCATGCCCCAAGTTTTACTCTCAGTGACATTTGGGGTCATCGTGTGAGTCATCTGGGCACTCGGACATGAATGTCAGGCCGTCCTGGTCTGTTCTTATTTTTTTGATTTTTTAGTGTGTGTGTGGGGTGCACACCCAGTGATGCTCAGGGCTTGCTCCTGCCGCTGCACTCAGGAATCACTCCTGGCGGTGCACGGGGGACCATATGGGATGCTGGGGATTGAACCTGGGTCAGCTGCGTGCAAGGGTGCAAGGCAAGGGCCTTCCCAGCTATGCTATTGCTGTGGCCCCATCCTTGTCTGTGTTCTGGCTCCTCCCAGTGGGGCTCCTGCCATTCCCCCAGGGAGTGAGGGGCGCTCCCCACACCAGCAGGGACTGTGGGCTTCATCCTGTCCTGCAGGACCAGCCTGGCCCTCCCTGCAGTTCCCTGGGGGTTGGGGAGAGAAGAAGTGTGTGGGAAGGTGCTAGGAGCTTATACAGGGTTCAGGCCACCTGTGAGACATGCTGGGAGCAAGACCAGAAGAGGCTCATCACTGAACTGGGTGTACACCCCCTCCCCCATTCACCCAGTTCAGGGCTGTGCTGGGCGGGGGGAGGAGACCCCCCCGTGGGCAGCCTCTGCTTGGGGCATCCCTCCTGGATGCTCCCACCCTCCACCCCCTCCCCGCCCCACGCCGTTCTTAGCTCACTCTGTGCCAACCCAGGGATTTAGCTTGACCCTTGCGAAGAGGCATGGACCCGGGTGGTGCCGGGAACCTGGGCAGATCCTCCCGGCAGGGCTGTCCGGGTACACAGCCCTGGGTTGAGCCCTTCCTCCTTCCTCTGTGCTGGTCGTTTGGCCTTGGGTGAATCACTTAATCTCTCGGGCTTAGGTAGATCCAAATAGACATTTAAATTACAGACGTGCTTATGCTGAATTAATAGACCTATTTTTAGAACCGTGTC